AATGAAAGCACTCTTGGTGCTGTAGTCAATGGATATGGGATTGTGGGAATAAGGTCAATCCTTTTTCACTTTTGTACTCCTGCTGAAATATCCATTGTATTTCACTGAAAGTAAAAATGACACATTGCAAAGGCATTGGATTGTCCCATGAAATACAACACTTCTTAGCATGTTAACGCAATTTTTTTTTCCTTTTCATATTGCCCCAAACTGCAAGAAAAAACATTGTTTTCAAAAAATAATAATAATCATTCTCAGCAGTTTCTAAGTAATGGAGTCTCCAAACATTTCAGGCCTTTAATTCTGTTTTGTTTCTTCCACTGAGGAGGCGGAAAATCCCCTAGATCAATTCAAACTCATTTTTCAAATCTGCTCACTTCCCAAGCAGAAACAAATTACCACCATCTCTCTGAAATTTAATTGCTTTCACTCCAGAAAAATACCCCTTCTGCACAGAGGAATGAAGCAAAAGAAGAAATGCTAGATTAATCAGTAAAGAATGAGTGGGTCTGAGTTGTTTTTTCCTTCTCCTAAATTAACTTAGTGTTACTTGTCAGTTAATATATAGTAATTTGCACATTGTGAAGAACTCAGTACTTCCCTTTTTCAAATCAGGAGCTGAAATATCTGTTCACCTACAGATTTCCAAAAGAAAATGCTTTTGCAAGAAAAAAAAAAAAAAGGATAAGAAATGAATGAGAAAAAATAAAAAAGGAAGAAGGGAGAGAGAAGGAAAGAGAGAGAGAAAAGAGGCCAGTGAGAAAGCAAGAAAAGGAGAAAACGTGCCTGCGTGAGAGAAAGCAAGCAAGAAAGAAGGAGGGAAAGGAAGAAATTTGATCTAAGTTGTAATATTTCTGAAGCACTGGATCCAGCATGAAATAATGGGCCAATCATGTGTAACATAAAGAAGCTCAATGTAATAAGATTTGGTAAGGTCAGAGTCTTTTTTTTTTTTTTTTTTCAAATGAGATATTGTTCTTGAAAGTGACGCTGAGCTATAGTAGGCAGTGGTAGGAAAGGAAACATCTTGTTTACAAATGTCAGCCAGCAATTAGCGTCATTTAAAGAGTGGAACCACAACTGCTGTCTTTTGTTAGCTTTGAAAACCTCATCTCTTTCTTGTGGCCACGTTTTAAGAGGCAAAGTAGACAGCAAGACTCTGAAACCAGTTCATAAATAGTTGATTTCATATTTTAAAATCTTGCCTATAACTGTCACCCCCCTTGCGTGGATCACAGATGGTGAAGAACTAATTTGTTACTGTTTGATAACGGCTTTTATGTATCAAAGCTCTTATTTACTACTCTGTGGGGGGAAATGACAGACTAAAAGCAATTATGTGTTTTTCTGTCAGTTTTTCTTTAACCACTATGCTCTTTGGCTTTTTTTTTTTTTCTTTTCCACTCCGACATGTTTCTTATTTGAAATATAGCATTGTGAATCTTTTACATGTGTTGGTTCTCATTTAACCCTCTTTCTGGGTTTTCAAGAATGCATCTGGCCAGGCCGATCAACTGTAATCTTTCATGATTGTTTATAATGGCCCAGTGATAAGTAATAACACTCAGGGGTGTCTCCCGGTAACAGTGTATTACATTTCAGTATTAAAAATGCAAATTGGGACTTTGCTTTTGAAGATTGTCAGGAAAATGTTTCAAGGAGGGAGAATAGCTACCAGGATGCCTGTAAGTGAAATAACCCCCTTTCCCCCCTCCGTGTGGGGCCTCCTGCCCACAGGTTTTCTGAAGGAGCCCCCCTCCTCCTTCCCCTAAAATAAATAAATAAGTGAAGAGGCTTTCCTCTGTATGTGGCATTAAGTAATCGATGTTAAATCTTTGGCGCTGGCAAGTCATGAACTCTCACATCTGTGCATTTTTTTTCTTGCTGGTGCTATGCAAACCACGCACTTGGTGTTGCCATCAAGAATGATTTTGCTGTGGGTTGTGTTTTCTGGTGTTGCACTGCAGCAGAGCTGATGGGGCTGCACATAGTTTTATTCTGAATAAACAAAGGAGGGTCCAACTTGGTGATGACCAGAGCTGATTTGTTGGTGGGTTTCCTTAATATAAATCAGTGAGTCTGCTTGTGTGATAAAAATTTAGGACATGTGCGAACACTACTGTGATTTTGGTCTGCAGTGTAAATGTAAAGGCAAAAGAATGCTATTATAGATAGGAAACGTCAATATAGCAATGTAGTATTATAATTATGGCTATAGACGGAGGAAAACACTGCCTATTGTTGCTGAAATCAATACGAATTTTCCCACTGACTTAAATGAAAGAAGGAATAAGTCACCATGGAAAAACCCATGGAAAGATTATAAGCTTTTGTTTGTCTCATTACATCCTTTAAATTACCTCCTAGCTCTCTTTCCCTGTTTCACCCTCCTTTTCTTCTTCCATATTATGCCCACACTGGCATTAGGTGGTGCCTGTTAACATCAGTGGGACTGCTTGTGGAATTGCTCAACATAAGGACAGAATATTCTCATTGAATAATAATATACAGAGCATGCACTTCCATACTCTCTGAAACATGTCTTTTAACCAAAGCTTAGACTACCAGGAAGACAAATCAAGAAAATGCAGAAAACCAGAAGAGGAGTGAAAAGGGCAATGGAATTTAGGAAGCTAGTATGCCTGTTTAAAGATGAAACATCACAATTTAACCCCTTTTCAAACCAAAATATAGGAATAGCCCTTATTTCCAGGCTTTAATACTAGAAACCTTCAATCGAATCCATAAATCACTTCCACATGTTTTTGAATAAATCTCTGTTCTGTATTTTACAAATTGCTTTCTCAAGACATAGTTTGAGTTAGGTCAGCAATCCTTCCCTCCTCTTGTTCGACTTTCTCAGAGTGAAATTCACCTCTGGCAGTTGTCAAGAACAAACCTGTGTCACCGAACTCCTGCCTAAGCCAATTGATTTCTAGTGAGAGCTATATTTAGGCTAATCAGGTCCACTGTGTCTGGATGTGGCAATGAAATAGCTGAAGCATGCTCTATCAGGCCCCATTTGAAAATGCTGGCCCAAGTGTGCCTGTCATTTCTGCTGTATTTCAGACTCTCCATCATTTTGATAATTATACAGCTTGGAAACTTTTTTTCTTTTTATAGTCTTTGAAACTATAATGAAGTCTTCAGTGTTGCCAACCCAAACCATCCAAAAATCTTGAATCGGGCTTGAAATAATCATGAGATTGGCCTGAAAATCATGCAACTGAATGTACTTGGCTTCTTTTTATTTGCCTTCTGGTTTTGAGTGTTTAAGGTGCAATGGGGTCACATTTACAGGGTTTCCTCTGCGTCTGTGTGGGCCAGAAATGCAATCTTTTTATAAGACAACTGAAATTCCTTGGGTATTCACATGACTCCAGGAGCTGGGATTTAATGGGGGGGGGGGAGGAGGGGGGGGGGGAAGTGAAGGGGGAATCCACTGTGTTTGGGCTTGTGACAAAATTGGAAGCCTTGGCAATACAGAGCGTCTCACATTCAAAGTTTGTTTATAAGGGGAATATAGTTCGTTGGAGAGGGAGAACAGAGTTCCCTTCTGTTCTCTTCTGACTTGAGAGAAAATTCCTCCCAAAGGGTGAACTTCACTTTGCAGAGCCAGCACAAGGCCTATTCAGCATCTGAAGTGATGCATAGACCTTGCTGTGGCTCTCTTTATATGAATTTACCTCATGCAACATTAAGAGAAGATGCAGAAGTTATTGTAGCTGAGATAATTTAATGTTCTCAAGTAAAAAAGGAAATTCTTTATAAAACTGCCCATTATCATGGATTTGGAAGCAAAGTCCAATGAGGAGGGCTATAGGACTGAAAGCCCTTGTGAAAGAGGATGGAGGAGGCCCTTGAAGCTGAAAGAGAGCTGCATATGAAAGCATATAACCCATTAGGTATAACTGAATGTAGGAATCCAGTCTTAGGACACGTACGTGTTTGTAGAGTAGGAAGATGGCTGGAGATGCCGGTAGGAGCAGCACCTGGGAAAGTAAGCAAGCAAAGATGTAGGTGAGAAAAATATTCTCCCGAGTTCCCCTTTCTTACTGCTGTTATAAGTGGGACATAAAGCTTTGAATGTAGGACCAAGACATTAAAGTTGGGATTCAATTCATTGGTTATAAATATCTGCAACACAAGACATTTAAAGTGGGATTCACCTCATCCACCATCAACATGTGCACTAGTTCCTTGGTAAGCAATAGAAATTAATAGAGACTTCTGGGGTGCAATTCATCTCATCCTCAGATATCTAAACAGATTAGATAAACTGCCTCATAAAAATGACTTTTTATTTCCACTGCCTATGTAGGAAACACATGTTGAAGTTTTTTAAGAGGACTAGTTCTTAGACTATTGCAGAAGTCTAAAGTTAATCATTTTTCCCATGTTTTGCTTAAGAAAAGTCTTAGGTGACAGCTTTTTGAGCGATTCAGGATATAACTTTACATGTTCTTGGTGCAGTGTTTATGTGCACATGCATGGGGTGTTTGGATAATTTTTGCTTATGTTAATGTCTAAATTGGGAAGTAGCAAGAGTAGTAGGGAGTTTATTGCTGCTCTTGGAGAAGAATGTCATTGGACAAGACTGAACTGCATGAACAGGGAGATATAGATACGGCTTTCAGCCATCTATACTACATGATAAATGTCTATATATTGCAGTGTGCATACTCTGGAATCCTCATGTCCAAACCATGTCTGAATGTCTCAGATCAGTCTGTAATGCTTTAAAATCATTTGACTGGTTTTGCTTTTCTTCTGTGACTAGAGGCACCTTTAAGTAATGCACCATTAGTGTCTCTTATCCCAGTTGTGTATGCCTTAAAAATTGGCAGAGTGTTTTCACTCAAAAGGTATCACATTCAATTTAAGTACAGGATTTGGAGCATGCCAAGCCAAGTACTCTTGGCCAGCAATTTGGCATCCTGAACAAATAAGGTTTGAACTCCTGCTCTGAAACAGGAAAAGGATCATTTAGTCTGTTTGAATATCATTTAGAGTAGGATAGCTTTATTTTTTTGATGCAGCAGTAGTGTCAAGTGTTGATTCTGACAGATTTATTGAACTGACGGTTGTACATTAAACATACAGCTTTAGACATAGCTTAAATATATATTCAGTGTTTCTATGAAATCTAATTTATGAAAATACCCTATGATATGTGGATTATAAATGCAACATAAAATCAATTATAGCCAAAGGTTCTCAGGGCAGGCTTTTTCCATCACAGCTATGATAGAGGTTAAGAACGAGGACCAGGGAAATTGCACACAAAGAAAGAGATCCACAGAAAGACACAGGTACTTATTTGCCAAATTAGGCATAGAAGTAAAACCCCATATTCTCAGCCACACTTTCCTCCTTCCCTCTGTTTCAGCTGTTGCCCATCTTCTGAGACATGCTCTTTCAGTCAGTAAAATTTTCTGGGTGCTTCAATTTCGGCTGCAGAGAGAGTAAAACATTAACAGTGCCTGCTGCTCTGAATAACCCTGACAGGACCATGTGTATGTGGAACAGTGGGATGGAAGGTAGTCAGTCAAGTGAGAAGATATCTTCTTGGACCTGAAAGAAGTGTCCATGTGGCAATGCACAGTAATAAGCACTGCCTCTTAAGCAGGGTGATCAACTTTAAGTAGGGCACCCCATCAACTGACCAAACTGTTTCTGGTCTGCAAGGTGGCTTAGTTTACAGCTATCTTGGGTAGCTCTGTTAGGAACCGCACCAAGAGGAGGTATGCTTTTAGCACCCAATGTCCATTGGGAGATAAAATGGAGGAATTCGGGGACAAATGCAGGTGACAGCACAAGCTGAGCCAGGCTCCTCTCCTAATGCTCTGAGCCCACCTTCCAGTGCCAGCTATGGACTGACTGCCATGTAGTGGTCTTCACATGGTGCTGCACACCTACATGCCCTCCTTACATGGCTGTGTAGTGAAGTGTTACCATTACCAGTGTTGTCCAGCAAGATGGAATGGTGATATATGTATTTAGATAGATAGGAGCCAAATTTTTGCTCATACACATGCACACAAGACTGTGTCCCATCCTCTTACTCCTACTCTTAATTTAGACTTCCAAATGATTTACAGAAATCCTGGTGTGGCATGGTAACATTTTCGATACCTCATTTGCCAGACTTAAACCACTTTTCATTCGTGGTCTTGCTATGCCACTGTTGAGAAGAAAAAAAAAGTGTTTTCTGTTTCATGGCTGCTGCAGCGCAACCTTTACAAGGAGCTTTAGCTCTTATCTGCTTGTCATTGCTTTAAAAAAGTACTCAATACCACAACATTTTACATAGCAGTTGTAAAAATAGTAATAATAAGAACACTAATAACACCCCCATCTGTTTGAGTTCTGAGGCTCCTTGATTCATGTGCTTCCCTTATTGAGGCTCAGACTGCTGTGAGAGAACCTTTAACCTGTGTCTAACTATGCACCTGTTGAGGTGAATAGAAGCTGAGGCAAGTCGGTGTGGGCAGCTTCAAAAAACCTCACCCAGGAAACACTAATTTGTTTTAAAAAAGGGCTACAGCCTCTGTTGCTTTGCAATTTAGGTGAAGAATCTGATTTTTTGTATATTTTTGTTAATTAAGCTTATGTGTCTGATACTTGATTTAATTGAAGCTATGATCATGCAATAGAAATTGACAGTACACTCATAGACAAAGTGCTCAGTTTATAGAGAATCTATAGAAATTTTCCTTAATTTGCGTTCAGCCTGAAAGAACCTAACAACAAAATATTAAGCAGAAATCACTAGACATTTACTGTCAAATATTAGCTGAAATACCACACTTAGCACAAACACAGTGTAACCCATGTTATATTAAGCATAATAAATACTAAGCCTCAAAATTTACCCTTTTGGCATTGAACTTACAATGTCCTTGTCCTTTAGCTACATGGATTCACTTGCATTATGACAAAATACATGCAAGATAGTCCCTGTGAAATAAAAATGTCATTTATGGCTTCTTACTTGTAATCATGTGCAAAAATATAATAAAATCACACACGTACAAAAGGAACAAATACATTAATGTTATTGTTGTGCTATTAGCAATTGTTAATTTGACAAATGAGTGTTTCAGGAGCTAGCTCTGGCTTTTGCTCTGATGGATCTGCTGTACCATATGCTATTATTCAGGCTAGTAATGGTGATGCAGAGCTCATTTTCTGTCTACTGATCAGTGTAACTTTCTGAGCTTGTTCTCTGCTACTGATAAAGATCTATCCTTTTTTTTTTTTCCTGGGCTTTCTAGCAATTAAAAGTGATCTCAGATATTGCCACTCTGCACTGCTGTTTGATGTTTATTTGCTCTATCACCAGCACAACAAAGGAAAGGCAGCTTTAATTTGCTGTATTTTGTGTAATGCAAACGTGAGTTACTGTATATCCCTTAACAGCCCATCATTAATTTCCCTTGCATGCCGTTTCCAGGTTTTGTATATTGCTGGCTGTTGTTATAGTATGTAAAGCATCAGCTGCTGTTTCACAGCTTGGATTTTAAGGGGTCCACAAGGAGAGATCAAAAGCTGAAATTCTAATATTGCCTCTAATGGAAGAACTATTACCCAAACAAGCAGGATGTAGATTTCTTTCCTAGCAGAATGCTGCTATGGCATTCTCGCACTAATAGCCCTGCATCATTCAGGACTCTGGCAATACATGGTTTCCAGTTCTGAGAAACATGTATTTATTTTACACTTATCCTTTTGCCTAAGGAAAAAAAAACCAAATAGTTTAACTAATTTAGAAGTGAATTTATTTGTATAAATTCTTACAATGGACTCATCAGCTTAGTATATGGGCATTGTCAGTAAAAAAAATGTTACTGACATCGAACGTTTGTGATAAACAGAGATTAAGCTTAAAGACAGAACAGTATGACTGTGTGAGAATCCGACTTGCGCAGAGAGCTAAAATCTGGTAATTAGTAAAATTATAGATCGGGACCAGTTTCTATACTAATTCTAACGTTCTTCCTAAACTGCAAGGCATCTTTAGTAGTTGTCTTGGAGGCAATGTGACTCTCTTATTTGACTGACCGATTCAAACCCTGCTCTTTTCTGCAAATGTAAAATGTATTACATAGTTCAAGCGAACTGAGAGAAACTAGCATATCATGGAGAGTCCAACCTTTTATTCTTTAAAAGACTGCTTTGCAAAGAAAGCTACCATGGCAAAGAGAGGTGTTAGACAGAAGGAAATTTTCTTTCTAAACATGGAAGATTCCTCATCCCTCAAAATAAGGAGAGAATGTATTGTTATGGTTTGATCAAAACAAAATCCGATTTATTTTCTTTCATGGTTGAAGATACAGACTTTAGTTCTTGGAGGAATGCTTGAGATTTTTTAATTCAGTCATCGTCACTGTTCACATTCTGAACTAAAGATAAACATAGATACTGATATCATGAGAACCTCAAATAAAAGTTTATTCCATGATTAGGCATTCGGTGCCTTTTAGGAAAAGATCACATACAGCTTCATGTATTGGGTTAAGATTGCTATTCCACATACCTATTTCTGAAAAAAAATCAGTTGAGAATATTTGCAGAGCTCATCCTTTAGAAGGAAAGTTGTTTAACTCACAGAAACAGTCATGAAGAACTGGTTATCAACAAGCTGGGTTAGCATCTTCTGAAACTCATGTTTCAGAAGACAGGTAACAAGCCATTCACAAAGCAGAAGGAAAGAAATCAAACCAAGACCCTAGAAGGAAGGAAATTACTAGGGGAATATCATAGGTGCAGGAAAGTTAAAAATGTCATTCTGTACAACTACTTACTGTATAAATATTGTTCTTCTGTGTTAAATTATTGCCTCCTCTGCTATCACAGCTTGAAGCTGCTTTAAATCTTCTTACCTTGTTGAACCCAGTCTCAAAGTCTCTGTCTATTCTGAACAGTGCAATGGACTGTGATAGGCTTTTAACTTAATCACAATAAAGCCCAGAGAAATTAAGGATCTCTACATTAGAGCAAAGATAGAGCATTCTTTAGCACATTGGGCATATATAGATAGCTGGTTTTCCTTGTCTGTAACACAGAATTTCCTTAACATTTTTCTATAGATGCCGTACTTGTAAAAGGATCAGTTTTCTCTCAGAACCTTTTTCCTTTGCTAAAAAATGACTCATTTTCAAAAAATCCAAATAAAAAAAAAGAAAAAATCCAAGTTGCAAATTTCATGCAAAACTTTGGGTCTTTTTAGGTTTTAAACTTGATGGACAGGGGAATGTATCTGATGGGATAGAAATCTGGGTCACAGCATGAAATTCCTGTTTTTGTATTCATAAAAACCAAACTCCATATATCAAAGGAAGGAGGTGTGAAGTAGTAAAAAAGAAAAAGAGAAAAGCAGTCTAAAATATTCCCAGCTCAAGAACATGATGAGATCTTTAAAAACATTGTATGATTTCCTCTGATCATTATTGAAACAAAGATTTTCACTGCTGTGCTAATAACTGCTCTAAACTTATCTTCTGAAGATGAATTAGTGAAACAGTTCCAGTTTTACAGTATTTTTTTTCTATCAAAAAATGGTCTTAGGTTCTGTACTCTTGAGAAGTACTGGGGTGGGTACTTATCTATATAGCAAAGCAGGACACAGACACTGAATACATCCTTCTCTACCCATATGTGATCAAGAGCAGTAGGGATAATGGTATGTAAACAAACCTTTTTTGGTACCATACTGTTACCTTGATAATTTTAAACCTTTGAGGTCTCATCTAAATATAATGCCTAAAGAAAGAAACTATTAGGTACACACCTCTTTAAAAAAAAAATGTAACTTTTATGTCTTCCACATGGCGGACCAAATTTTGGACCAATTACAGTGCAACCTGAATCTCCAGAGTAGATTGCTTGAATTATTTTAGTTTACAGGCTAATGATGATTACCAGGTTATAGCTCAAGATCTCACACTATGGGATAAACCTTTGGTTTTTAAGTGAGTCTACAAGTTACAGACGGAGCTAAAAATGTCAGTTTGACATCCTCAATCTGAGGATGATGAGGAAATGAGAAACAGTTCTTAAAGAAAACATACTTCAAGCATGGCATTTGTAATGGTAAAAATTGTGACTCAGGCAGCAGCAGGGAGAATGTTTGTTCTAGTGCATTTCTGTTGCAGAAAGACAAGGAAATACAATGTGGTTTGAAGAAGAATTTGCCACTAATTATATGAATTACTATTCTGATGCTTTGGGATTTTTCTGTTATAAAATTACTTAATAATAACCTAAAAATAACCTAATAATTAGTGAAAAAGTAGTTTTAAGTTGCTTGCAAGAGAAGTAGAAACAAGGAAAAATAGTTGCCACTGAACCTTATTGTTTCTCAGCTCTTTTTGAAAAGGTTGCTAATCTCACTAATGCTTGTTGACAAGGAGTTCCACTGGCCACTACTGTATCTGCTTCCAAGAGATGAATAACATCAGAGAAAGTACATGACTACCTCAGTCTCTTAATAATATTTCTCGTGCTGTTTGCTTGCTACTAAATATGTTCCATTCATTTGCTATAGCAGGACATAAGGGTATCAGCCATCACAGTACAAATTGAATGGGATTCCACGGACCAAGAGAAGTATAGATTCTGTATGTTTGGTCCCAGTAAAGATTCACAGTGCTCAGCTCATTTAGCACCTTGAAACTCTATTTACTGTCCTCTTTCAAATCTACTTTCCCCAAAACCTGAAAATTACTGTGGTTAATGTCAGAAAGGAAGTATTTTTGCTGTGTAGTGGCCATAGCTATTTATATTTGAAGAAGAGAGATGGGTCAGCTTCTTCCACATTCTTCCAAAGATACGCATCTCCTCAAAAGGGGATTAATACCATGCCTTAATATCATTAAAGAGACACAGTATTCCCAGATATTTATGAAAGAATTGTATCTTCATAAACTTCTTGGGCACACTTCTCCCTTTGGATGGAGGCTGTGCCCTAATGGCATAACTGTGCCCTTGTTGTTTTCATGTCATAAACTCCCTCAATAATGAAATATCAGTGGAATTCTAGCTGAATGTGCTAACCCCTGAGAGACACAACTCCTCTACCATAATACAGTCAGACAGAGAAAAAAAAGATCAATTTATGAAAGCCATGTTTACCCAGTGGCAGAATACTTAGATGTTGATGTCAGTTCACAAAAGTGGTGTATGGTGATCTGCAAATTAATTATACACTTGCAGATAGAATGTCAGCATTTCCTGGGATTTTCATGAATGCAGATTTAGGGTTCAAAACATCACTTACACTCATGCTAAACTTGAAGCACTTCCTCTAGTCCCAAGTAGAAAGTCAGGACCTAAATAATATTGTGTATTTCATTTGGAACTAATAAAATGTAAGTACAAAAAGGGAACATTTGAGTCAGTTTATTATACAGTATTTGACCCTATCTGCCCTACTAAAACTTCACATTGTTTCTCCAGTGGTGCCGTATGGGAACACAAGATTGCAATTGTGCCCCAAGAGCACAACAGCAGTCCTCATAATAGTTTCTTCAGTCTTTTTTTTTACATTGCTTTCCAAAATGATGCTGCCATATGTGCTGTTATATTTAAGCAGCAGATGCTGTGAACTCACAAAGTTGAAGAATGCTGAAGTATGATACCATTTGAAAACAGGTTTTCTAGGGAAAGCTGACTTCTTGCAAGGCTTTGAATTTATTTCAGGCATTTCATTACTAATTACAAAAGGCCATATAGAATGCATTTATACCACTTATTGGTTCTGTCTTGGGGCACCTAATATATGGGCTATCTAGCTTTTACACTATATTGCTCTTCCCACAGCTACAAAGCTGCAATAATCTCTATTTGCAGCAGTGCTAATGCTTTCATTTTGAAAAGGAGCTGGGAATGGGTCTTCATTTCCACTTCTTTACTTAACCAGAGTTCGAGCTAAGATCATGTTACAGGTTAGGTTTAGCTAACAAGAGCTAAGGATGTTATTACACTGTAAACAGACTCCTAGTATTGGGTAAAGATGGGTATTATGAATATAACATTAGGAAAGTCAAAATACTTTCATTTTCATTGATAACTGGCTTTCTAATCATTTTCATGTTTGAAAATATAGCAAGCAAATTCACAGCCTACTCTAAAAGTACAATGAGATTGGCTGACCTGATGGATTTACAGTAAGTCAAATCAGTGCCTGTAGCATACACAGGCTAGGAGTTGGGAGAGGATACAGTAGAGATATGGAGGAAAAGGTGCTCAGAGGAACATTTCTAATGCAGAAATGTTGGGTTTTGGCTGTTTTAGGAAAATAGCAGGATCTGGGGACTAAAGTAAATAGAAGCATTCTTTTAGTACTGATGACTTGAGTCATTTTAGTTTTATGTGTAACTTCACTGGGCTTATGAGACCAAAATGCCACACTCTGTAAGGCAGCTGTTTTCCACATACAGCCAGTTCTGAATAAGTGCACATAGTGCAAGTTGCCACCATCTCTTGTCTTAGTCTACAGCAATTCTTGCATCTAGAGAACAAAAACTGGTTTGGAAGGGAATGAATTACTCATTAACAAGAAATGTCTGGGGGTCAGAGGGTCCTACACCACTTTTCCGTCCTTTCACACATAGGTAATATACATAGTGGTTTGGGTCTTCTTTCACCTGTGGCACTGATTTATACTCCCATCAAACGTAACAGTGGAAGTACAGGTTTAACTCTCATAATCAACTTACAAAAGTTTATTTTCTTCATATATGTATTTGGTATAAATGACAAAGTTTTGGCAGAGAGGAGGGCTGCAGGGGTGGTCTCTGGGTGAAGAAACCAGGGTCTGCCTTATGTCATATACAACCAGTATTTCCAAAACAGACCTAATGCAGGACACAGCTGAGCCCATCAGCTGAGTTGGTGGTGCCTTTGTGAAAAGAAAATACTAGAGGCAGAGGAGGAGGAACAAAATAAGGAGAAATGATAGAGGGAAAACCAAAGTCAGAGGAGGGGGCTCTCCATGGCAGAGCAAGTACATAGCTGAAGGGACAGTGGCCTGAGAAAAGACCACAGTGGAGAATAGGAAAAGAGTGATAACCAAAAGAAAGAAACCACTGTGCACTGACCTCCACCTCTGGTGCTGCTTGTTGGCTTACCAAGGGGACTGAATGTAGCGTGTCAATAATGAGAGAGGGGTCTGAAGTGAATGAATGAAGTGGAAACAAGGAAGACGGGAGGAGTCTAATGTGAGATTGAGTCTGGAAAAATGGAAGGAAAGATTTATTTTTTTTTCCCTAAGTGTTTTAATACTTGTCATATGTTTATTTGCACTCTTATCAGTAATTAAATAATTATGCA